CCCGTCGAAGGCCTGGCAAGCCCACCTCTGAGGGTCTCCAGCGCTGGCAGCCAGAGCGTGGTACCATTTATAGCATCTGCTCGGTGGCCAGTTAGAACTGCAGAACCAGAGGGAAGAGGACAAGGCTGGTGTTTGATATAAAGTCAGCGTAATCCAATGTCCCAGACCCCTGTTGGTAGAGTTTTTTACTCTTAATGCCACAGTCTCCCTCCAGCACCAGCTCCCGTGAAAGGGTCCTGGAACCCTGACTCCCCTGGCTCTGACTCTGCTCAGGCCGGCCCCCCCACCTCGTTCCTTCTCCTGTGGTGTTGCCCCTTTAGGGGTCCCCCCATTACCCACTCCAGCCTGGCCTCCTGCAGGTCTCCCAGCCCACCAGACAGGGCTGCACACATCTGGATACCAGCTTCCCTGTATCTCCTGCGGACTCTGGGCAATGGCTGGGCTCTTGCCCCAGGGCTCCAGAACATTCTATGGCGATTGGAGCCATATTGGCCAGGGCACACAGAGATGCCCAGGGGGCCGTGTGATCTGACCCTCCACCTGCCCCAGCAGAGCCTCACCTCCAACCCGGCTGAACCCCCGTCCCACCAGTGATCTGTAGTCTGGGATCATGGGTGCAGATGTGACTGTCCTCATGATGGGGGAGACAACTGAGTCACAGAATGGAAAGAACATTCTGATGAGCCACGTATACCAACAGGGAAGCTGGGGGCCAGGCTTGGGGATGTTGTCTCTTGGGAGAAAATGAGATATTCATGGGAAGAAAGTGAGGAGATTAGCAGAACCAGGATCAGGACATGTCCTGGAACCCAAGGTCGAGGCAGCAAGCAGCATCCCTTGCAGCCAAGAATGGACAAAGATCTCTGATTCTCGGGACAAGGAATCCCCGATGGCCTATAAGAGTGCTTCTGGGGGTGGGAGTTGGGGAGGCAGATGCATAGGAACAACCTCATGGTGAAAAAGCAGAGGTGGCAGCAGGGCAGAGGGCACTGGTGAAAGGTACACTGGTCCCCCTGCATAGCCAGGGCCTGGAGAAGTCTACCCCTGCCCCCCACCCCACTCCCAGCACAGAGCCTGCAGCAGCTCAGATGAACCTAGAAAGCCTGGCATGTGGTGGGGCTTCTAGGGGCTTCCAAGTCGGGCCTCACCTGCTCCTCTCTCCTCCCCTTGATGTGACAGCTGCCGGGTTCCCACTACAGGGCCCAGCCCAGGGGAGTCCACCTGGGGGAATCTGAAAGGTAGGCCCCATGAGAGATGGGGCCCAGAGACCCCAATTTTCCATGCAGAGCAAAGGAAAGGCCCTGACGGGCAAAGAAGGCAGCTCTCTGGACATGCACTTGTGTAACTAGTTGTGATTTTTGATGGTATTGAGGGTGGCCTCCTTCTCGCAGTCCCTCACCTGCATTTAAGACCTGCCCTGCACCCCTGGCATGGAGCCCATTTTGCCTAATTGTATTTACCTTTCCAATCTTAATCGATCCCAAGCAGATTCCCTGGGGGACAGAGATGGAGGTGGAGAATCATGGGCAGGGGGTTCTCTGGAAGAGTGTCTCCTGGGAGCCACCCCGGTGGGTAGCAAGGGAAGCACTCTGGGTAGAGAGATAAGTCGGGCTGTCAGAATGCAGTTGCTACAGAGGCCTCAGCCCACCTCCTGGGAGCTCAGGAGCCACAAATCCTTCAGAGACGCCCAGATGGAGGCAGGGGGCAGGCTTCACTGCCCTGCATTAGCTGTGAGGAGGCAGCTTCCAGCTGAGAATGCAGCCTCAGTTCATCAGCAGTCCTGCCCACTGGGGCTTGAGTACTCAGGATAATTTCTCCAAGCTGCCTAGAGCCATCCTAGCTGGAGGAGGTGAGCTGAGAGGGTCCAGAAGGTTCTAGGAGAGCCTGGCGCAACCCAGATATCCCCAAATGCCTCTTCTTCCCAATCACAACCCCCCCTTGGCATAGCTGACTCACTAAGGTTGAGAATTCAGCCTCCTCTGGGGCCCTGCGGCTTTTATTAAGTCCAGATCCTGACCCTCTACTTCCTTCTGTCCCCCAAGGTCAGGCATGAGCATCCACCATTCTTGCAATACCTCTCAGATACCTGAGTTTTTTTCACCACCACTGCATTTCCTTCCCCTGGTATCCCATCCCAGCTCACTGCCCGTGAACTGTTTAATAATTACACACCACTACAGCATGCCAGGGGCCAGCATATTCTACCCTCCCCTAGGGATGGGGGTCCTCATTAGCAGGCAGGTGGTCCAGATCCAGAAGCTTTTTAGGGTCTATTCCCTGGGACCACACCCTGAGGCCAGAGGGCCAGGCTTTGTTTCCCTCTTAGGAACAGTCATTGCATGGATGATGCGTCTTCTTTCAGCCAAGAGCAGTCCTTGGAGAGGGACGCAGGTGTGAGCCTCAGCAGCTGGGGGGTGGGGAGGAGTTCTGGACCTGAACGTGGACTTGGCTGTGCACCACGGTGTCCACTGCACACTCATCACCTCCAAAGGCTTATAAATCCCTGGAGGACAGAGACTGCACAGGACGTGTGGCAATATGCTCGATGCAAGTAGGCGTCTGCAGCTAGGTGTTGGTTCTTCTGTTGAGGAAGGTGACACTTGCTCCCTGACTTCCTGTGGATTTATTTTGCAGACTCTTCGATAGGCTGCCATCACCGCGGGGCTGAATGTGGCTCTGTCCTTATTTAGGGCTCAATATCTGCCATATTACACAGGCGGTTTCCTCAGGAACCTTCCAGATCTTTCTGGAATGGAGGTGTCAAAAGCAGAGACAGATCGCCACCTCCTGGAGAAAGAAGGGACCTACGGCTTCCTGGGCATCTGGAGCCCCGCCGCCCAGTAGAAAGCTCCAGTGCACCCCATATGTGATTTTCAATTTTCTAGTAGCCACGTAAAAAACAGCCTAAAGAAACAGGTTACCTTGACTTAATAGAATACTGTGTTTAACCCAATATCTATAAAGTATTGTCCTTCCAACAAGTAGTCAATATAAAAATTATTAGAGATACTTTACGTTCTGGAGGGGTTTTTTGTTGTTGTTTTGTTTTGTTTTTGCACTGAGTCTTCAAAATCCAGTGTGTATTTCACACTTACAGCCCTTGGCAATTCAGACCAGCCACATTTCGAGGGCTGAAGAGCCACACGTGGTTAGGGGCTCCTACAGTGCGTGCGAAGCCCAGAGCTGGAGGCCGAAGGCTAAGGAGAGAACAATAGTGTGTGTTGGGTGAGGCATGTGTGTGTGCAAGGCTGTGTGTGTATACGTGGACCTGTATGTGTGTGCATGGGGTGAGTGTGGATGTGTGTGTGATGTGAGTGTGCCTGTGAGGGTTTTTGTGTCTAGGAAAAATGGAAAGCTGGAGAACTGAGGAAAGACAGAGGTGTCCCAGGGACCTGTTGGTGCATGTAGGGCCTTTGGGAGAGGTTGGCTTGTTTTTGTTCGATCATTCGAAAAATCTTTTGAGCACCTACTGTGACTCAGACCTGCGCTGGATGCTGGAAAACAAAGGTACAAGGAAGAGTCCCGCAAAAGAGCTAGGCATGCAAATAGAGGGAAATAAATGCACTCAGACAGGTATTACCAGGTAAGTGGGGGAGTAAGGGGGGAGGGGAATAGGGCTCTTGGAAGACTTCATAGATAAGAAGCCCCAAAGTGGGTATTGTAAGATGAATAGGAGTTCTTAAGGTAAATCTATCCAAGTAGAGAAATAAAGAATTCCAAACAGGTGGTGAAGCAAGTGCAAAGGTTCGAAGGCACCAAAAAGTCAGGACCCTGGAGTGAAAAGCTGAGGCGGGAGCAGGGAGCATGCGCACTAGGTGCAGAGGAGGTAGGTGAGGGTGGAGGGAGCTGGAAGGAATCAATTCATGAAAGATCACGTGTGCCATTCTCTGGTGGGCCATGGAGAGCCATGGAAAGACGTCAAGCTAAAATGTTGATGATCGTGTTCATATTTTCAATCTCCCAGAAACAAGGTGGTGCGGGAACTAGGGCGCCGGCGTAGGCAAGAGATGGAGGTGAACTAGTAGCTGCAGTTAACGTTGATCAGGCTCGTAAAACGTTGTGCAGGCATGCGCAAAACCTTCTACCCATCATGTCAGCTAAATTCTTCAGCAGCCTTATGTAGTAGGTACTGTTGTTATTCCCATTTTACAGAAAGGAAACCAAGGCTCAAAGAAGTAAAATAACTTGCCCAAGGTCACACGGTGAGTCAGTGGCAGCACAAGCT